ATATGTAATACAATAAGGCGGCATTGGTAATGTATGCTGACTGACGCTTGACGGGCATGCGCTGGCATAAATAGTGGTTTGACCCTTAGTAGCTGTGGTTGACATAAGATCGTTAATCGAGACAATAGTCATCAGTGTAATCGGTAAGTAATCAGTGCCTACCAATCAAAATAAATAAATAAATATCCTTGGACATTTTACACTGCGCCTCTAGTCCCAAACTAAGCAAAGCTTGTACTATGGGTACTAGACAACGCGCAACGGATAAACATACACACCTAAATGTACTTAAGGCCGGGTAGCAGTGAAAATGGCGAAAATGAGGTTTTCATTTTTCATTTTTGAGGTACTAAACAGTAAAATTAAAGGCTAAGATTTTATTTGGGCATAGTTGAGGATATTTTCTAGGGCTATTAACGGATGGAAACACGATTTGATGAAGTTGACTCGATAGAATAAATTCCCAAAGTTACCTCTATTCGTTTTCTATTTATGGTTTTATTTTTTAAATAAGCGATTTGAGATTCTGAATCTTTTACTAAACTAAAGTTCAGAAATAACTTGAGGGCTTTTAACGGATGAAATTTTTATATTGGCTCTTATTTAGTTACTATGTTAAAAAATGTGGAAAAAATTGCCCATGACGGCTTGGACAATCTCAATCAGTCGCGCGGTGGCGCTTACGGAGGACGGACGCGTGTCAGTTTTTTGGTCGTGACAGTTCGCGATTTGTCAATATTTTTGACAATGATGACTTTGATGAGTCACAGTATAATAACATCAGTGTTACTGGAGAAAGCTAAAATTTTTGATAATTAAGAATTATGAATTTTGTCTACTTAGTATGATATTTTTATTTATTAATAAACAAAGAGACTGAACAAAATTAATGCGTGTACTGATTAATGTTATTAACCACATGCAAAGCTTCGTGAATTGCAACAACTATAATTTATTATCCAAGCTCTAAATAATCCCTACTACGAGTAACTGATCATAAAAGGTTTTTCCAGTCGCTCAAGCTTCCAAGGGCCTACCGATAGGTCGGGTGACGTAATCTTGAAATTCTTTAAGCCGGCGCAGAACTTCCAGAAGGTCAGGCGACGCCACGGCCACTCTGAACCGTGTTTACTTCTGCAGTTATATTTCATATTTATTCGATTCTAGAATATATTCCCAAAAAGTCTGTAAGGTGTTTTAATTTGTATCACTTGGATATGATTTGTAATAAAAAGTGTTGTGAGTGTGATGCTTGAAGGGAAGGAAGTCGACCTAACCTAACCAACTGCGTATTTCTATACTATGTAGCTGGAAATTGTGGCGGGAGCTCTTTGGCGCGCTGTCTTCGGCGAAGAATTGCGCGCGCAGATTTTGACAGCGCGAAATACCTACTTTAGCAGAAATACCAAGCCTTAAGGAAGCAATAAACATATTGAGTATTGAGTATACTTATATACTTTTTTTTTTAAATACATACATATTAACATAGAAAACACCCAGACCCATCACAGAAATTAAAATTCATCATTTCAATTTCTGTCCGGCCGGCAATCGAACCCGGGACCTCTCGGCATAGTAGTCCGTTCTGAACCACTACACCAAACGGCCGAAGAAAAATACTTGGCAAAAGTATGATCGGTGCCAATACTGCCAATATAAACAGGCGTTTTTGTAAAACTTGATCAAAGTATTGTCTGCGCCAATAGAAACAGAAAAGCATAAAGTCGATTAACTTATGAGCTAATCCAATGAATAAGCGATAAAATTTAAGTATCATCAAATCCGTCTAGCCGTTTGTAAGTGAAAGGTTAACAAAGATCCATTCATCCTGACACATTTTCGCGTTCAATAGTAACATCATCAGACCATTATTTTGGTCTAACTAAACTATAAGAGCCCTTCTCTAGGGCTTACACTCCCCATGCTGGCTAGACATAATACCTACTCGTATTAATTAGGTAGCCTATACCTATAGCCTAAACCTATAGGTAGCTATGGAAAAGCTTAAAATGTCGCGTAGCATATTGTTTGTTTAACCACACGGTAGATGGCGCGGCATCAATCACGCCGACGTTACGATTAGCATAGCAAACTTTGCGTTGTGCATAATGTGCAAGGAATCGTGTAGAGTCGGCAAAAACCGTAAACACTCTAATAAAGTGAAAAAATTAACCCCTCACAAATTTTTGAAATTCACACACACAAAGTACATATGTACTCATTATTCACTGCGGTATCAAATCAACGTTCGAATAACTACTACTACGCAAGTAATGTAAACTGTTTACATTATGACGTCGCTGCTGTCATCATTGCTGTCACGAGCAATGTGTTGTTTTTGGGCATATCGCTGTTTCACTGGCCCCGCTCCCTTGTCACATCTTCCTTTAGTTTCTGTGATCTGTGATCCTGCCTATCTCAATCTCTTCCACCACGCCTTTTTGATTGGCTAAACTTAGGTTTTTTAGACAGTGGATTAAATTAATATTTACTCTACCGACCGTACCAAACTATAACAGGTAAGTTTCCGTCCGTCAGTCTATATACGGGGTGCGTGTTTTATTCATGAGCGGCCGTGTTCGCTCGCACTTGACCGGCGCGGCCGGTTACGTAAATTATTCTATTTCTATCTATTGCGCTTCAATGACCTGAGGATGAACTGGGACGAAGGCGCATCCGTTTTTTCGCGGCAAGAAATCTCTAGCTATATCGCTTCTTTCTGTTTCTAGAGGTTCTTTCTGTAGACAATCACATATTGATTGTTTTGGATATAATTTGGAGACGTGGCGAAGCGATAACGAAACTGAATCTACTCGTAAACGGACAAGATGCAGGACTCAACTTGTCCGCAAACACCAAACACATCTTACCGCACTCCTAGATAGAAAATAGTACAACTCAAAATAATTCAAAATTGCATTTTGGTGATTATCGGAGTCCGCGTCAAAAACTATGTGATTTATGACTATTCCTGTAATTATAGTATTTTGAGTTGTACTAATTCAAATGTATCCAGTTGTATTTGTACATAATGTATCTTAAGTACTTATTGGATGCAATAAAATATTGAGTATTCAACATTATTTCACAGACACAGCAGTGTAGGATTAATTATCACGTAGGTAATTTTATCAATGAACAATAATATCCATTAAACGTGGACTCCTAAAGCTATGAATTTTTCATCAAAACCTATGAAAAGCGGAATATTTATGAAGCTTCCCATTACGCAAGCCAAAGTGCACTATTAATGCGATGTAGATTTAATTCCAGGCAAGCTGATCAATAATTTAAACAAAGCCCAGAGAAAGGTGTTTTCCAAAGCATTTGCATTCAAAATGGTGCTGGTGCAGTGACTTAATGGGTCTTTGGAAGCAGCTTCACTTTATGCACTACACATTCTACCTTAGGTTTGTACGTAGAATTAAAGATTTTTTGAGTTAATTTATAAAGCATGCGCATGTAAAATTACAAATTGTATCAATTTGTGAAGCAACACATGATTTTTAAAAACACTTAAAATACTTAAATAACTTAAAATCTATGGTTACTAAGTGATTAATATGAAACCTTTTCTGTGTCTTTTACCTTACGCAATACTAGCTGATGGATGCAAAGTTGCGCTCTTAGGGTCCCAATTTTTATTTAGTTTAGTTAACCCTTTACATGTGGTGGAGTAATAAATAACTAATGTCACAAGTGCCAAACTTAGTCCAGAGTGCTAAGCTGAAAGACATTTCATTTCATAATAGTTGTAATTAGGACCGTTAGTTAGAAATTCTAATCAAATGTAAATATGAATGAGTTCAACTAAGCTGGTATAATTTCTATTTAAATTTTCCGGCAATAAAGCAGTAACAGAAGATATTAAGCCAGCTCGGAACATAATCTCTGTGCCTGATTTACGAACCCTTGAGGGCTATAACTTGAACTGTGATCAGATGCCAGCAACAGGGCTTGGCTGCTGGCCAGACACCAGCATTGAAGTGGTTAAATGTATCAGCTCTCTGATTTACTGGATAATTTTTAAGTTAAACTGTTTGTGGGATATCTAAACTGCATGTAACTTGGATGTAGATGGGTTCTCGAAATGGAGGGCTTAGGATCGATTCCCAGAAGGGACGGGACTTTTTTGTAGGTTCGTTAGGATTATTGCTGGAAAAATAATAAAGCAAATATAGGCCTAAAATAATATAATTGGATCCAAAAATGTTAGACGTCAATGGCGATTTGTTTTAAATCCGTCAAGGTTTTGATCCCAGTAGTTACAATTCACAATAGAAGAAAAGTTAAAAAAAAATAACCTGATGTTTATTTATATTAGAAAGACCAAGTTTTACATTATTTACGGTAAGAGTATTACGAATTAATTTATTCACAAAAATCACTACGCCTTGGAATTTCCTTCCAAAATAAGCTTAAAAATAAGCCAAGACATCCGCCCTCAGAGCAACGGTCAAACTTTAATCCAAGTTGCTTCACAAATAAGGTTACCTTGTCTACTTATGATTCATGGCGCCTCCCGATCCTCTCATTGATAAGGACGTGAATTGATTGTGATGGATGGGCGCGAGCCGAATTCGCCATTAGCCGAATATATTTGAAACAAAACTAATAAAAGTCGGTGCGATAAATCATACGCTGACGGGTTTTGAGGTAATACTTGATATTGTATTGTATAACCTATTTGTTATCAAAGTGTACGGTTCCCCAATAAAAGAACAATCGTGTAATTTAACTTTAAAATGTAAGTGATGATGATGATGAAGTCAAATAACTTAGTGTAAATCGATAGGTCCACTAACGTGTGGTTAATTTAATGATTTTTTTTACTATGCTTATCACTATTATTCGAGACTTATCATAACAGTAAACTTTTATAAAAGAGTATAGAAGGTAATCTATAAGAAGGCATATTCACCGATCTTGCGGTACGTATGTGTCCTACCAGTCCCGTGAAGCAGTTAGAGTAACTACTAGGAAAGGGCATATCCACCAACCTTGTGGTATGTGTCCTTCTGCCAGTTCTTGATCTGCGCGATGACGTCATTGACGAGGCGGTCGCGCACGCTCAGGTGCAGGTCCGACAGCCGCTCCGCCTCCACCATGCCGCCCTTCCACGCCGCCTCCATTGTGCCGTATTCGGGACCTGGACGAGAACGTGTTAAATATTAAAACTGTTGAAAATAATACAACATTACGAGGCGTAGTGCAATTTTAAGACTTTAGTTACGCATAGTTTCTATGTGTGGTGTCTTCCTTATAAATAAGATGTAAGTTTTCCGAAGATGTCGTAAAAAGGAATACGGGACACCAGACTAGACTAGAGTGTGTGTAGGTCAAATTCTAAATCTGGAAAATCTCTTTGCTGACAAAATGATGATGATAGTGAAGGCGGTGATAATGATGGGCTTTCGGTGGTTGCAGTTGACAGCTCAGATGGGGATAGGTACTATGCGACGATGAGAAAAGTCTAAGATGGAACACGTCTAATCAGTAAGCATCTGCCTACAATAAAAGTCTCAACTAACTTAAAATATAGCTTTTTTCATACACGTTCTTTGGTTGTTAGCCTGTGCATTGTTTACTGTCCACAAATACCTGCGCATAGCGACCCGTCGCAGTAAACAAGTCTAGTAAAATTAACCTACCATCCAACCTCTATCTGATTGCGGACGTTTAAATCACTTATTGCCCTACCCCTCTGTATGCGAAAACAATCATTAATGCAGAAGCAACAAGGTTTAAAGTCAAGTGAAGTTATCGTAATAATTACGCTAGGGAACGGTTAGTGCTGTTTTCGTTTGATTGGGACAAATTGTCCAATAATGGCCGCTTGTGATTTAGGGCCAGAAACTGTTTTATCGAATTACAGTAATTCGTGGTTATGATACAGCGCGGAATATGTTGTAATAAACATAGAGAATAATTTATTAACTAATCGACTCGATTACATATTATTATAATATATTTTCAATAATGTCCCCATATTAGTGTGTTCATTTTAATTACCAACGTCAAGGGTTTATCCCTTTTTAAAATGGTGGCAGAAGCCTCCACGGTCTACTGGTTAGAAAGTAACACTCTGGACTTAAAGAGGTTTTGGGTTCGATCCTGAGATGGGACACGCACGCATAGTGAAGTATTTTTGTTTAATTTTGCCTAAATTGGTTTAGGATCTTAATACCCAGCCTTGAATCAACCTAGACACTTTCTAGTGGACAGTCCAAAAATAAATGACAAAAACGATACGTCCCATTGAAAAAAAAAATAGCTTACAAACATAACTGGTCGGTCGATTCTATCTAAACCGCAGAGGTGCAATTTGCCGTTGATAAATATAGATTGATAATGGAAACGAGAGCGCGGCGATAAGTTCCGACACCGAGCAATGCGCGTGCGTCCATCAAGGTCGATGGGGGCTGCAGTGACAACAATGGAGCCGTGATTGCATATCGAATTATATAATTTGTTATATTAAATGATATTTCGCATGTTCAGCACAAAAAAGGCACAAGTAGGTACCCATAATTCGACAATTTGCAGTTGGGCATTTATTTACCTGATGTGTGATTTAAATTTGGTTTTGTGACTTATTGTGATTCGAAAACGCGAGAATTTTACCGTCCATTTGTAACGTAACGACCCGATGGCGTTGGGCATTAAAATTCCAATTCACATTTTTCACAAACCGTGTAGGAATTCATGTACAATTTGTGCGAATGCACGTACAAATTAGAATCTTATTGGTTAATAACATGTATTCTCAGTTCCTAACGCGTTATATTTGTATCAATAAAAGAATATTCGACGGGTTACTGAAATTGTTCTCAATTGATTTTTATGATTGCGGATATAAAAACCGCACAGCCACAATCGGAACCTGATACGTATAAACATACAGTTTTACCGGAACGAAGCCACGGGTCAAACATAGCTATAGTTAAGTGAGGACAGAAGTCAAAAGGTCGTTGGTGTGCGTGTCCTAAACAAGCAGCCTCAAGGACAGTACGTGACCAATTTGGACGACCCTCTGGTCGCAACTGTTTTAATAACTTTATTCAGGATCTTAGTCTACTTTTAAGAGTCTAATTTTGTTGTGAAACTTTATTTTTTAAATCAAGTTTGAAATATATAATTTTTTGCATATTTTTGAGTTGAAACATTATTGCATAACGCAACTCAAATATAGTTTAAACACTGGATTAGGCACTATAATTATGTATTTCTTTACTAACCGCAATACAGCCACCGTATCAAGCTGAGCACTTCACACATTATGTAATAAATAACACAATACACAATTATACTCTGCAACTTACGTACTGGCAGAAAAATAGAAAATGAAATCTGAAAGTGTTGAAAACCTCTAAGATTGTCAATAATGGTCTCCACGGGTGGTCATTATTGTCATCGAGTTATTAAGGCAGCTATCCACTACAGTAGTGTGAAGAAAACGCTAGCGGGAAATGTATTTTTTCAGAAGTTGTTTCCGTGACGTGTATTTTTTTTTAGTTTCATTGTTATTTTCAGTTGTTACGAGGTTATAATAGAATATGCAAAATCAGTCAAAAGGCAAAATAAAACATGACATTATATTGAAGAGCGTCATAATAATATGACTGTTTCATTGAGTCATATTGTCAAACACTTCACGCGGTATTTATTTAATTTAATAACGCAAAATTAAAAGAGTGGATAGATAGCGGGCCCATTTGATTGACCATAGACATAGATTACCAACATTTAATCATTTATGGTTTTATTACAAAAAAAAAACTTATACAGACAGACGTGTTTATTTTATTTCCACACTAATTGTCAATTTCCGTTTAAATTGTTGTATAAGCCCCTCAGATTTTTGACGCTAACATTAGGTAGGGTTTGTTAACAAATAAAATATTTTTCCAGCTCGCTCGCTTTCCTCGCCTATCTCTAGTGTACTAGCAGCTTTACTTTATTTTTCTCGATCGCAAGCACAGAGGCGATTTCACGCGTTATGTTCCAAAAAGTATTGGATATAACGAGAAAAGCTTTTTGCTTTTATTAACTCATCGAGTTGAGTAATACTTAGCTCGAGTAACCTATTTACGATTTGATTTTAGTACTGGTGATTAAATTCTCAGTATTTAATAAGACAATCTCTTCGGTTTACGTGTTTTGTGTAATGGTGTTAGATAATGTTGAGTTTAACGTCAAATCTGAATCAATTTCTTTTCACAGTTAGGCTATGCACGCACGGGTGACTTTTTGTCACCGTGACAGTTTATCTGTCGCTTTTGCACGTAGGTAATAAGAGAGAAAAAGAGACACATACTGTCACGGTGACAAAAGTCACCCGTGCGCGCCTAGCGTTAGTAAGACTTTTTGTCACTGTGACAGTATATCTGTCGCTTTTGCACGTAATAAGAGAGAAAAAGTGACACATACTTACTGTCACGGTGACAGAAGTCACCCGTGCCCGCCTAGGGTTACTAACAGATCTAGGTACTGTATCATAAATTGTAGTAACCATAGATTATTATTTATAACTTAACATGTACAACATGGAATGCAAAAAAGATATTGAATATTGCATTTTATTTAGATGAAAACGGTGATATTTTGCAATAGAATCTTCTCATACAAATAAGCCTCTTTAAAAACAAACTTACTGCACATCGTTCACTTTGCACTATGGCAGGCGTTTACGAGCCATTGTGTACAATGTTTACGGTGCACAATGGGTAGTAACGTGGCTCCTATAATATTCATATTCATAATCGTGCGACTAACGTGCGCGGGCGCAGCCCTAACACTTTCATCGTGATTTTATCTATAGCTTATAAAATGATATTTAAATGATTCCGTTTGTTTTGCACGATTTTATTGTATTCATGCAGTTTTGTAGGAAATGGTGCCTTCGAAATGGTAGCTTTGCCAATATTTGAAGAGACTTAGGCTGAGTTGCACCACCTAACTTTAACGGTAACTATTACGATAACCGGTGTATTTTGTATGGAGTTTGACAGATTTTTGACGTTTGTCACAGTTAAAGTAAGATGGTGCAACCCACCCTTAAAAGAGAGTGCAATCCGTGCAATAAGGAATTAGTATTTGTAAAGGAAACCCATAATTTCTAAGTCCTCCACTACAGGAGCATAACCCTCTATAATTTTCCAAAGGAAAATGGAGAATTTGGCCTTTATTCCCCACGCCAGACAGGTTGGTAAGGTCTGATAAATCGCATATTTGTGCCTTTTATTTATGCACATTACTACCTTAACATAATATTAATCGACGATTCTTAACTCCTCGCGATACCGTAGTTAATTAATTAACAATAGGTACTTCTAATACTTCTTACACAAAAACATGAATTGGTTTTCGATATAAATACTCTTTATACACCGTGTTACTTTGCATTCTTGCCATATTCACAGAGATAAAAGTAGGGAACAATACCTATTATCCCAACTAATATTATAAATGCGAAAGTAACTCTGTCTGTCTGTCTGTCTGTCTGTTACGCTTTCCCGCTTAAACCTCGCAACCGATTTTGATGAAATTTGGCATAGAGATAGTTTGAGTCCCGGGAAAGAACATAGGATAGTTTTTATCCCGGTTTTTGAGACAGGGACGCGCGCGATAAAGTTTTTCTGTGACAGACAAAATTCCACGCGGGCGAAGCCGCGGGCGGAAAGCTAGTTTAAGATAAACAAGAGACTCCCATAAAGAAAGTAAGATACAGTATTCCAACTCGGCCATATTTTTGAAATAAATGTCAACAGTCGCGCGGTACGTCACAGTATGACAACATGCGATAGGGCTGCCCGCCCACCTACAGTACCCAGTTTGATTACATCTGCCCTCTAAGAAACCTAGTCGCAAAAAAGATATGCGTACCATTTTTACAAGCACTTCACTAAGATTTTAGTAAATTTGGTTTTTCAGTACAAATTGGAATAAACCCATTTTGTCTCGCACGTTCTACAGGTGCAAGTGGAATAAACCTAGTGGGCGTGGCCTAGTTCTTAATAATCTGTTGTTTTATGGCTCTGGGTACCAGCCTTTTTATCCAGTCATAATAATTATTTTAAAATACTCTTCAGTTGATTTCAGATTTTCCTTTCTACTTTACGGGCTTAGGACCGTCAAAAATACGTAATA